AACCAAATGAAGCCTGGATAAGCAAACTATCCATATTACTAATTACAATTATAAAAGACAAATGTGAAAATTAAAAGGAGAAATTACCTCTGGTGTGCAAATATCTGAACTTCTTACACTTCCCGGATGGCCCCAGGATGGCTCATGTTGCCCTGGTAACATTTTCAATGTCTCAATGTAATTTTGGAGAGAGAAACATTGAAAACTTGCTAGTATGTCAAAATGCTAACAATATCAAACAAGAGAAGGCTTAGCCTAATGAAGGATAAGATCCAAAGTGTTAACAAAATGTAGTCACTGAAACAATCCTTGCACTAAACTAATTCTAGATTAAGCAAGGTTTAAAACCAATCAATTGATCAAAGATTACATGCCATCTGCACATCTATGAAGCGGCAGATAGCAAACTTTCTGCACATCTATGAAGAGGCAGATAGCAAACTTTCAAAAGCTTATGTTAAAACATAGAGCATGGAGACTATTTCAAGCAAAAAAATTGGCTTAAACATCACAGAAATTTAAAAGATAAAAATAAAAAAACAATGATATCCTGCAAGAATAGTCATTTGCCTGACTGTTCAGTTTTCCAACTGCATATAATCAGCGAGAAAAATATGTGAACAGGCAAATAACACTAAATCTGCCAGGTTGAATTTGGCAACTGCACGAAAAACAACAGAATGCATGGCATTTCAGAAAAACTCCAGTTTTGGAAAATTTTTAACATTACCAATTAGATAAAGTCCCACCAATATCGACCCATGGTTTCTTGTTTCTTGAGCTTTTTAATATGAAATAATAATGTCTCAAGAAAGCAGAAAAAGTAGAGCATATAGACAGACCAGAAACCAAGAGAATCTAAAAGGATCATCAGAGCACTTTCCATGTCTTCTCAGCATGACTAGGGCTGATCAATGGAATAAAATAATACTATTTCAACCTTTTACTTTCAAGATTCAGAAATATAAATCTTTCTTTACGCCAAAATCCTTAAGAAAAACAAATAATGGATGTCAATGATACACCACACAATTCTTGTCTGCTAATCACGTATCTCTCCAACTGATTAATTGAATCGAGTCAGCACTTCCTAATATCGTACATAAACAAAGACAAATTCTTGTCTGAAAAATTTTTCTAACATAAAATCTTTAAACGTAAATTTCATCTAGTGTCAATGCATGAATTTTAATTCCATGATCAAAACATGACTCCTGTACATCAACCAAATAAAACCTTTAAACTTAAATTCCTCTAGTCAATTCATCATCAGCACCAATGCCACCAGCATATCATCGCCAGGAGTATAAAAAGTGGCAAATGGCAAATAGCTCAATTTATATTGCTTCCAAAACCAAAACACTGAAACAGCAACAAGAAAAGATAAGCAAAGCACATACCTGCTTGAGACGAAGACTCCCCATTCTGCAGGCGTGACCTCCCCTGCACATTGGGACTCTTCTCCCTGGACTGCCATCCACCACCACTACCTGGAGACATACCATCGGAACTGCTCGCGTTGTCAACCACACTCTCCTGCAATAACCTATGATTTGCCCCGTCTTTTTTTGCAGAACCCAAACCCGACTTCCCTGAACTCCCATCGCCACCACTAGAACCCACAGGCCTAGACAAATTACTAGCCCCAAGCACGGAAGCTGCCGCCCCCTTCTCCACCCTAAGACTAAAGAAACTTTCCTGGGGCAGCGGACCAGACCGCGTCTTTATCCGATTGAGTCCCAGGGACGATGCCAGTAACGGCGAAACCGTTGCTGCTGGAGTCGGGCCCTCCTTGGCATCCTGCTTCTTCGAAGAATAAGTAGCAGGCTTGGCAGGGGTTTGAGGTTGGGGATCCTTGGACTTGAGGTCCTTCCTTCTGACTCCATCTTTGACTTGGGTTTGCTTGCAAGAACCGGGACTGAACGCGGAGGGGGAACTCGCGATCTGAGAGTCAGTTTTGGAAGTGGATGATTTGGCCTTCTTCTTGTCCGATCGGATCGGAGAGCTGGAGGCGGATCGAGGGCTGTTGGTTCCGTCGGGACTGGGAGAATCAGACTTCTTTGAGGAGAAGAAAAGCTTGTTTTTGAACACCATTTCCGCCTTCTCCTTCAAGCATAGACGCTGGGTTGCTCCCAAAATACTACCTTGTCAAAGATGCTCCGCCATTTCTGAGCAGAGAGATTGAAAGAGAAAGAGAGGGACAATAAGAGATTGAGGGCTGCGGCAAAGAGGGAAAGAGAATGAGACTGCACAATGGAAAATGCGGATATAGCAATTTTTATTATTAATAATAAGGGCTTTTTTTTTTTTTTTTGTATAGCACCTTGTTCAAAATAATAGTAATAAGAAGAAGAAGAAGAAGAACAAGGAGGTTTTTATAACCCAATTGCCCATTTTTCTAATAAGTGAAAAACATAAAAGTAATTTTAATTGTATTGAACATTAAAAGTTGTGTAGTGTTAAAAATAAAGTTAATTTTAATGTTTTTCTAACAAATTAATAGAAAAGGGCCACCTTAACCTGTGCCAACAAACCCTAATGCTAATATTAAGGGATGGATTGAAAATTAGTCTTTTTTTATAATTAAAATATTAAAAAAATAATTTAAAATTTTAAATACTATAATAAATAAATCATGAAAAATAGTAAAAAATATTAAAAGTTTAGAACAATTTTATAAACAGACCTATCATTTTAAATGTTAAAAAATTTTAATTTTAATTTTTATTATTATTAAAGAATATGATTTTTTAATCTTCATTTTTACCAAAAAAAAAGTTAGAATCTTAATTTAAAGTATATTATTTTTTAATAAATATTTTTAAAAGTTACCGGTTCCATATGTTGTATTGAGACCAATTTTCAAATTAATTAATTATATCTAACTTGTTTTTTTATTATATAAATTTTAATATTGTTAAATATATCAAAAAAATATTTTTCAGTCTATACAGTGAAATACTAACTTTTTGATATGGAGAATCCTTGATATTAAGATTTTCCCTATCAGAAGGCTCCTATTTGATTGTTCAAACTATAAAATAGTACATAGTAAATATTTATATATATATACAATGAATATGTCATAATTCAAAATTTTAATATGGAGAAAATATTTATCAATTAGATCTATAAAACTTTTGGAAAAAAATACTTGGAAATTATGTCTTTTTATTAAATCTTCATGGAGAAAAACTAAAAGACTTATTTTTAAGTAAAAATAATATAATTTTAGTTTTTTCCCAATTTTTTTTATTAATATTGCATAGTTATAAAGTATTTTTCACTTAAAATTTTAAGAAGGTTTAAATGATAAATATTAATTTTTATAAATATAGTGAATAAAATTTTATAAGATGTAAAAATTTAAGAATTAGCTTTAAAATAATTATGTTTAAAATTTTTGCGGCATGAGCTTAGGGGAAGGACAAAGGGTTAAGAGCAGAAAAGTTGTGTGGACTGGATTTTGAGATGCTAAGCCTGTCCCTAACCCGAAAGCAACCACAAAGCCTGCAAATCAAAACCCGAACAAGCCCACACAACCCATTTTAAGCCCATTTACTCCCCTTAAACTCATCCTTTTGAAGCCTTAATGCAATGTTTTTGAACCCGGCCCGGTGGCCGGCCCGTTTTGACCACCGGGTCCGGGTCAACCGGTTGAACCGGTTCACCGACCGGTTCAACCGGTCAACTAAAAAAATTTTTTTTTGACATTTTTATTGAATAAGTACTAAATATAAAAAATAATCCGTCATTCCAATCCAAATCTTTAGGCTCTTAGCGGGCATCGATCTTTCTCCTTCATGAATCAAAATCCCAAAACCCAATCACCCAAACCCTAATCTCCAAATCCCCCCCAATGAACCAAACTCCCTCTCCTCCTCCTTCCCTCGCCTCCGACGGCGACATCGGAATGGATGGCGCCTGGTATGGCAACATCCAGTACCTTCTCAACATCTCCACAATCGGTCTCTTTTGTTGCGTCTTCATCTTCGTCTTCCTCAAGCTCCGTAGCGACCACCGCCGCATGCCTGGCCCTGCTGCTCTCTTTTCCAAGCTGCTTGCAGTCTGCCACGCCACTGGCCGCAAGATCGCCGTCCACTGTGGGGCTGATGCTGCGCAGTTTCTCTTGATTGAAGACAGTAGCTTCGTTATGCTTCTGTCCGTTGCTTTTCTATTGGAAGAGAAGAAGTGCAGTGACAGAGGAGAAGATTGGCGGATGATCGGTGGAAGAGAAATCGACAGAAGATCGACGAAGAGAAGATCAGCGACGATCGGCGAAGAGAAGATCGGCGGAAGACCCTTCTGTAGTTCTGTTGGTTCCTCATATCTGGGTTTTGCAATTTGTTTCCACTGTCCCGAGCTCCTGATGATCTTAGATTCTTAGGATTTTTAGTTTTTAGTTTTTAGTTTTTACTTAGTTAATTAGTTTAATTGATTTTTAATTTAAGTTTTAAACTTTAATTTAAGTAAAAAAGACAAAAACTTAAAAAGATGGTGAAAATTTCAGCTCGGGTGAGCGTAGCGGGTTGCACGAGTTCAGCGGGCACGACGGGCTTGACGGGTTTCAACGGGCCATTCACCTAAACGGGCTGAAGCCTTCAATCGGCTCGTTTTTAAGCCCAGATCTGGTTCAACCGGTTCAACCGACCGGGCCGAGCCGAGTCCAAAAACATTGCCTTAATGTTTCCCATTTTTGTCTTCACTAAACTGACGGCATCATGATGAAACACAACCAGATTGAGAGGCCGTCGAACTCCCTTCCTCCTCTGGCTTCTGTTTTTATCATCTATTCCGTTCTCATCTCCACCTAAAACCCAACTCCGATCTTGCTCCGATGACCCCACGTACGGCTATTTTTGGGTTTTGTTACGGGTGTGACAGAATGCTTGAATTCTTGTGGCAATTTCTTGGACAATTTTTTTTATGATTTCTTGTGGCCATTTCTTGACAAATCTTGTTATGGTTTTTTTGTGCCAATTGATTTTAGGTTGTGATGGAACCGCTCGAACTCTTGAAAAAGTGGAGAACCCAATATTATCTAAGTAGGCGAAAAGGATATACTAGCCAAATAGTTGAAATTTATCTCTTTATTTTTTTTTTTAAAAAAAATTAATACTTTTAAATTAGAATAAATCAATCTAAATTAAACAGGCAATGGTTTAGACTTAATTTAATAACATTGTTTGGTGTATCTTGTAACTGTAATTGTTAAAAATGTTATGTTATACTATAAGGAAAAATATTTTAGTGTTTGACAATTATATTTCAAAAAAATTATTTATTATAAAATTACTCAATTAGACATATGGCTGTTTAAAATTAAATTAATTAATAATTTAATATATAATGTAAAAAATTTTGAAAATTTTATTAAATTATTTAAAAATTTTATTAATTTTGAATAAGATGATTTTTGTATTTTTTTCTAAAAACATAAGAATGGATAATTTATCAAATATATAAGTTACAAAAGCGTTATGTAGATATATGTAAAAAGTACTATAAGTAGTCTTGTCAAATTAAGTTTTAGTTTAACAACATTTTTCAGTGCTGTTTTATAACTGTAGTGGTTAGAAGTACTATATTGTATTGTCATGAAAAGCATTTTAATGTTTGATAATTATATTTTTAAAAAATTATCTATTGTAAAATCACTCAATCACATATATTATTATTTAAAATTAAATTAATTAATAATTTAATATTTAATGTAAAAAAAAGGATTTGAGAAATTTATTAAATTATTTAAGAATTCTATTAATTTTAAATAAGATGACTTCTATATTTTTTTATGAAAAAGTACGAATGAATAACTTACTAAACATGTAAGTTACAAAAAGTTATGTAAAAATGTGTAAAAAATACTATAAGCAACATCATCAAACTAAATCAACGTCATACCAAGTCACATTTTTGTGAGGCAAAACTTCTAAATTTACCATTTAAATAGCAAGGCAGAAATATATCAACCCTTAAAAAATGTAAAAATAAATTGAATTATATATTATTAATTAAGACAAATCATTTATTATTTAATATTTGATATTATCATAGGTCAACTATCCATTTGCTATATAAACATGTTTTTAAGGGAAAATTGCGAGAATTGATGTGTTTAATAACATTACACATTTAATAATAAATTATTGTCTTGATTGATAATTTGAAAGGAGAAAATTTTTTTTAAAGCAAATTTATCCTTACCTTCCTATTTAAAGGGCAAATTTGAGAGTTTGGTTTGTCCATGAAATCTATTTCAGATCCATTCATAAAATAAATTAAATCACATACTTTCAAATTACTTAAAATCCACCCATCTATTTTTTTAAAAAAAAATTTCGACCCATATATTTATTTATTAAATTAAATTAATTCAAATTTAATAAATAATATCATGTCATTTTCATAAAACTTATTACAACACTACTAGAAAAATGTCTATTTCGGACAAACTATTTTGGTTAAGCAAAAAACTTGACCAAAAAACACTATTTCAAACATAATGATGGGCCGAACTCAAAGGATGCTTGTTTTAATCAATGCTGAACAATTATTTTGGTCAAAAATATTTCAGTTAAGCATTTCGATTGAAGTAGAGGAAGCGAGAGTTGGCGGCATATTTTATTTGGTCAATATGATTGACCGAACTCTTATTCGGTCAATCATACTGATCGAAACAATACCAAAAAAATCAAACAAATTTTAACCAATAAATACATATATTTCGGTCCTACCTCATGACCAAAATAATAACATACATTGATTTGACATTTATACTGGTTCATTTATATAGTTTTTAACCATAGTTCAGTCAGTATTATTGACTAAACTAGTTATTTGCAGCTTTAATGAATATTTCAATCAATTGGCTTGATCGAAACAAAAGGACTTGATGCTGATTTGATGGAACCCGATGAACCCCAATTTTGTTTGATTAGTCTTACTAACCGAAAACCTAGGCCTGGTTCTGATTTGATGGAAGCTAGTAGGGGTTCGATCTTTCAAGGTATTGTTCGGTTAGTGTGTTTGACCAAAAAAGTTTTGATTGTGCCAGCTTTTTTCATATTTCGATCAAATTTATTGTTCGATATTGAGAAACTTGCAGATGATTGATGGAATATTTTGACCATTCTATGATGTCTGTATCAATATATTTCGATCAATTATACTAACTGAAATAATTATCAAATAGGCTTTCAATATTTCGGTTATAGTTAATGACTGAAATACTTATTAATTTGATTCAGTCTTCTGACCAAATAATTAATTTCAAACAAGAAAAGGAAACTTAATTTTAATTTAGTCAAAATATGTGACCAAACAATAATTTCAATTACTTTGGTCAATTATATTGATCGAACTAAAGGTTCTTAAAAAAAAAAAAAAGCCATAATCATTGCCTAGAATGTTCACGAAATTTTTTGAATTTTGTACTACATTTAATTCGATTATATGTGACCAAACAATAATTTCAATTACTTTGGTCAATTATATTGATCGAACTAAAGGTTCTTAAAAAAAAAAAAAAAAGCCATAATCATTGCCTAGAATGTTCACAAAATTTTTTGAATTTTTTGCTACATTTAATT